TGTGTGTGTGTGTGTGTGTGTCACGGGGTCTCATATAATCCAGACCAGCCTAGACCTGGCACCTGCTGTTTCTGCCTCCACCTTCTGAGTGGTGGATGCAAGTGTTAGGATTGCAGGTTGTGAGGCTGGGAATGCAATAAGCATTCTTGAGACTGAATTACATCCCTAGGAAACTCTAAGGTCACTCAGGTCTCAACTATGTAGAGCAGGCTGGCTAATTGTTACTGCAGGATTCTGTTTAGATAGACCAGGTTGGCCTCACTCAGTGATCTGCCTGCTTCTACCCACTGAATGCAGGGATTAAAGGACAGTGTCATCCTGCACCTCCAAACCCCCCTTTTCCCAACACCCCCTTTACTCTGCCACCTTATGTAAATAATGAGCCAGGCAGTGGTGGCACACACCTTTAATCCCAGAACTCCAGAGGCAGGTGGATCTCTGAGAGTTCAAGATTAGCCTGGTCTATGAGAGCTAGTCCAAGGACAGCTAGGACAAAGAGACCTGTCTGGTTTAACATTGGGCTGCAGAGATGGCTCAATGCTTACGAGCACTGGGTTCAATTCCAGCACCTATGGGAATTTACAACTGACTGTAACTCTAGTAACAGAGGATCCACAGACACACATGCAAGCAAAACAAACAGAAAATTAAAATTAAAAAAAGAGCCTCATGCCGGGCGGTGGTGGCACACGCCTTTAATCCCAGCACTCTTAGGTGGCAGAGACAGGTGGATCTTTGTGAAGCTCAAGGCCTTTCTGGTCTACAGAGTTAGTTCCAGGACAGCCAAGGCTACACAAAAGAACCCCTATCTATAAAAATGAAAAACAAAAAAACAAAAAACCACCAAACAATTGTACTTATGAGAAATCCTTCACTATTCTATTGTAATTTATAGTAGATAAAAACGTATCAAAATTATAAAGCGTTTCAAAATGAAAAGGCACCAAGTCTATGTAATATCCCTAGAATACATGGTAACAATCAACAAGTGAAGGAAATGGTGTCTCACAGTTACAACTAAATGTTCTGGTAGCCACCCGCATCCTGTGTCAGAATACTGTGAAACAAACCCTAAAAAGCACCAAGCCTTACTTCCAAATACTGAGCACAACTTATAACTCACTTGCTTAAGCTTTTGGCTTGCCTTTCCTTGTTAGGCTTTTATCTCCAAGATGTAGCAGGAAACACATTGCAGTGTGTGTGTGTGTGTGTGTGTGTGTGTGTGTGTGTGTATACACTACAAACACACCATTATGGCCCCATTCTTTTGTATATATTCATTATTCAGAAAGAAACCTTTATGGAACATTCAAATGAGGCAATATTCTGAAAATTGTGCCATGAAACCATGCTTTCATGCACGCATAGATACATGTTACACGCTATTGTTTTTTTTTCTTTTTTTTAATATTTATTTATTATGCATACAATATTCTGTCTGTGTGTATGTCTGCCGGCCAGAAGAGGGCACCAGACCTCATTACAGATGGTTGTGAGCCACCATGTGGTTGCTGGGAATTGAACTCAGGACCTTTGGAAGAGCAGGCAATGCTCTTAACCACTGAGCCATTTCTCCAGCCCTGTTACACGCTATTGTGACACAGGCCCAATGTCCTCTCCATCCCAGACCCCTATCGTGTCTCTCCTTTATCAGCATCATCAAGGAAGGTTGATACAAGATCACTTTAGAAGCTGCTTCTGAAGACAGTTTCCTGGTTTTAATATCAATGGACATTTCAAATAATGGGAGTACTTCAATAATATTTTATAACCAGATACTAGGAAAATATCCCCTGGTGACGAAGGAAGAGGACCCACTTGGTTTGAGACGGCTTTAGACTTACAGGTGAGAACACTACCATAGGCTTGACTTCCGCCAAACTCACTACTTCCATAATAGTGGTTTTGGTCCAAAAGCAAAAAAAGTTAGAACAAGGCATTGGTGACTCAGACCTTTAATCCCAGCACTCAGGAGGCAGAGTCAGGAAATCCAATCTACGTAATGAGGCCTTGTCTCAAGAGAAAAATAAAAATATAAAAAAAAAACATATAAAAAAAAACATATATGGAAAAAAAAGATCAGAAAATCAGCCATTTGCCCCATCCATTATGGTGGGTGACCTGGCCATATGAAGGACTAAGGGCTCAGAGTGAAGCCCAGGGAAACAGGTCGTTGGCATAATGCCACCTGAGAGGTGGCCAATCCCATCTGCAGAGTCCCACTGAGCCCCTGAACAGGGGTCACTCAAATAGAACCTGAGATACACTACCCCTAAATCCTGCATCTCCTGCCAAAGAACACATGAGTTAAGGCTGTTTCCTATAAATGCAACAAATGGATTTCATTTCCATCGATGTGCATACATATACACAGGACAGGACATGTTTTGAATAAGATCAAAATCACTGTACAAGACATTTTTAAAATAAAATAAGAAGTCCCATCACTCAGGAAGCAGAGGCAGGAAGATCCTGGTCTACATATGCCACTGGTTACAGGCCACTAGGGCTGAGAAAATTCTCCATAAAGAACAGAAAATCCAAAGGAGCCGGGCGGTGGTGGCGCACGCCTTATATCCCAGCCCTTGGGAGGCAGAGGCAGGCGGAGCTCTGAGTTTGAGACCAGCCTGGTCTACAAGAGCTAGTTCCAGGACAGGCTCCAAAACCACAGAGAAACCCTGTCTCGAAAAAAAAAAAGAAAAGAAAATCCAAAGGAAAAAAAAAACTTTTTAAACCCCAACATTAAGCACATTCAGGTTAGCCAGAAATATTGGCCCATGTTGGAAATTCTAGCATTCAGAATTCTGAGACAAGATCTGGGGTTTGAGGTGAGTGTGGGCAACACAGCAACTTCCATGCCACCTGTGCTACCTGAGAGTCTAGCATAAAGAAAAAAAATTATATATATATATATATATATATATATGTACAAAAACAACAGTAAAAATAGTAAGAGTACTGAAGCAATAGTTCCGCGATTCAGGGCACTTAGTTACACCCATGCCTAGTGACTCAGAACCACCTGTCACTCGGTGCTTGGAGATCTGATGCCCTCTTCTGGATTCCATAGTTACCTTCACTCATTTGCACAGAACAAAAACAGAAATACAAAAAATTCAAAGTAACATTTTTAGCCAGGTGCTGACAGTGCACACCTTCAGTCCCAGCACTGGGGAGGCAGGAGCAGACAGATCTGAAGCCAACCTGGTCTGAGACAAGTTCCCACAATCCCAAAGATTTTCACTAGAGACTTTAAAAAAAAAAAAAAAAAAAATCAAGCAGTATTTATGGTAATCCTCTATTATTCAGACACCAACTGATGACTAGGAAGCAAGAATTCCGTCCTCCCTGAGCCAGAAGGAATTGGGCCATTCACAGACAGGCTTCATATACTTCTGACAGGTTACAGGTGACAGACATGCACAGAATAACAAAACATAGAATTAAATGACACACACCCCAAGGATGGAACTCAGGGGCCAGAATGAGCTCTGCACGCGGTGTGCTCCTTGTGCACACCCACCCACCATTTGAGTCATTCATGTACACCAACACGAAACTTGCTTCTTTGTTGGAAAAGGTCTGTCAGGAGACAGAGGCAGGCGGATCTGAGTTCGAAGCCAGCCTGGGCTAAAGTTCCAGGAAAGGTAGGGAAACCCTCTGTATTGAAAATAAAGAACAATCAAGTAATCCAGGCTAGCCTCAAACTTACTAGCCAGGTGAGGCTGGCCCTTCTCTTTTCACCTCCAAAGGGCTAGGAACACAGGTGCACCATCCACAACCCCATATCATTCAACAGAGGGATTTAAAGTCAGCGATAGTCTGGTCTAGAGCTGGGTGGTAAGTCTAATAAGTTGTGGGTAGTCAGATCATAAGAAGATGGTTTAATGTACCTACAAACATTCCCTACTTGCTATGTCCGGGCCCCATGCCATGAGTTCACTCTTCACAGATCCTACCGGTTAGTTTGCTGACTCTGTGGTCATTTTTTAGTAAGCACGTCTTAATGACTGATGTTCATGCCCTTTCTGTGTGCACACAGGAAACAGAAACCTCAAGGTGGTCAAAGAAACCAGAGAGCAAGGCAATGACTGGCTCTCAGTGCCAGCATTTCTAGTTGACACAACAGGGCAGCCAGTGAGATCAGAATCTGCCTCAGTTCAGCATGCTGGAGCCCTAAAACTTTGCAGACACAAAGCTATGATTACTTAAGTCCCTTTACATTAAACATACAATTCTAAAGATCAACGGTCTTACTGCTTAATATTTCCTCTACATTTAAAAGGATTGCTAGCATTAATGGTATTGCTGCATTGTAAAAAAAGCTTAAACCTGAAGCAATTTACTAGGCTAAGGCTTACCCTAGCCTTGAACTTTTAGTGAGACCATAGGCCTTTAAATTAACTCTTCCAAATACCATAATAACAAAGCTGCTGCAGATTCTGAGCTAACGTCCAAATCAGGTTACAGCTGAACTCTCAGCATGCAATCTGCACCAACATGCAATCTATACAACCGATTCCTTCCAATCTATGACAGCTCAAACTAAGGATGACATACTGAACACTTCATATTGAGCATTTAGAGTTTAGCTGAAGTTCAGCTAAAACCTAAGGACATTTCCCTTCCCCCACTCTGAGGAAAAAAATTATCAGATTTTACCATCGTATTTTCTGCATGTTTAAAAAAAATGTCACAATATGAATCATAGCTGTCAACTTCTCTACCATGGAGCTAAAGTCCACTGGGTGCAATGACAGATGCAGGTGGCACACAGAGAGCTAGAGAAGGAATTACAACACTTTGAATATAAACTTCCCTTCGTGTAAGACGTGTTAGAGAGCTGAAAATAAAGGAAGCTAATGTGGACATAAGGGGGAAGGGAGGAGAGACTTGAGTGAAAATCCATGCATCCACTGTACTGCAAATTCACCCTCAGGTGACAGGAAAACACTAATGAAATGGAAAAAGATAATATCATTTAATCAACAGCTGATTACCTTTAAAACTTTGGGCTTCTTTTCCCTCTGGGGCCTCTTGTTCTCTTTTGTAACCTAAAATTTAAAAAAAGTAAAATTGAAATACGAGCCTCCATTAAAATGATATATATATATATATATATATGTTATATATATATATCAGTTCCCACCCTTCCCCACAAAAAAATTTTGTTGCTTCTGTTAAAACTACTTATATCTTAATTTTTAATACCACCAACATATTTGTCAGTCAGTTCCTGAAGAGCCCATGTAAAAATGTACTTTAAAAGTCAATGGAAAGAAAAACAATCAACAACCTTGCATAAATAAAGATGGAGGGAAATGCCCCCTTTCCCCCTAAAAGTCTTTCTTAATTAGACTCTGCATTCTTCACGGCGAAGCCCACGAGGTAGCCATCTTGCCTGCTTCTGCAGAGGAAGCCTCCACAGAGAGCAGTTCTGCAAACTGCTTTTGGTATCATTATCATGGTGTTTAAAGGCAGCCCTGGCCTGCCAGCACTGTAGACGTGCTGGGCATGCCTTTTGCAAAAACAGCCCCACAAAGAGTGCAGCCAATGGCAAGGCAGAGCTTAGAGACTCCAAAGTGATCTTCGCAGCCTAGCACTATCCCAGACAAAGGATCTCTGTGAGGCTGGGCTCTCACCACAGGACACAGGCAGCCACAAGCTGCGACATGGAGTTCTCTACAGAGGATCTGGTCGCCGCCACCGAAATCACAGGAGGCTTCTGCAAGAGACAATGTTCACAAATCCCCCAGGTCGCCACCATCGGATCGATGGCGGAGTCTCCCTGAGCAGGAACCTCTGGGTGGCACCAGGGCAGGTTGGCGCAGGGAGGGGCGCGCTGCTCTGTACCACCCGGCAGGAGATAGCCCTGAGCCTAAGGGGGCATCGGAGCTCACAGCAATCCGGGAAGGTATTGTGCATTTTGACTTTATAAGGCAAGACTAAATATTGGCGATATTGAAGGAAGGGAGGTTACGTGAGGACAGCACAGGCTCAGCTGTAGTGGGGCTGCCTGTCTCATTCCTGGGAACCACACCTCGGTGGAGCCGGCGGTGGAGCCGGCGCTTGGCCCAGATAACAACGATTTGATTTCTGTCAATAAATGTCCAACGATAAAGTCGGACTGAAAAATAATAAATAGCAATCAGGCACTCAGAAGAGAAACAGGACGGGATGGATAGGAGAGGAGGGTGGCGTTTTTTCAAAATACACTTGCCACTCTAGGCGACTAGAGTGCCTAGAGGCTGAGTGTAAACTGGTGACCTTCAGTGCCAAGAAATCCGCAGCAGACTCCAACCCGAAGCTTTGGGGGAAAGGGGTGTTTCTGGCTCCTCTCCACCCACGCATGCAACGAAGCCTGCCTGCACACCACCTTTCAATAGTCAAACCACCCAGGGGTGAACATGCCACCTCAGCCCCCTGCAACCGACCGACAGACACACACCTGGACTTCACCCATGCTCAGTGGGTGGTAGCCATCGGGAGCTGGCACCACATGACACCTGCCAGACACCAGAAAAGGCAGGACCAAGAAGAGCAGCCTCTCTCCAGCTAGCTCCCTTGCACTTCTGCAAACAGCCGCAAAGACTCTAGTGGCAGAGGACCAGAGTGGCTGTGTCAAGCTGGGCTGGTCCCAAGGTCATTGCCAAAAAGCTGCAGTGACAGATCCCAGTCCCATCCCAGCCACCTTGACAGCTGCACAGATCTTGGGAAGCAAGCCCACGCTCCTGCCTCCCGGGGCCAAAGTTTCTGCAGTACATTTGCAGGATTGGCAGGACGGCTTTCCTGCTAGCGAGGCCAAAAATGGGTTTTCCACTTGCAGTTGGATTCGGAACAGATTCCCACAACCAGAAACTAGGAATTGAGTGCGGGCCGGAAGGCCTGCGTTCCGTCACCCTCCCTCCCCAGGCTCGGAGGCTGCCACGAAAGCACACTTTCCTCGTGCATTGATTCCCCATTTATTTAGTTATTTATTAGTACTGTGGCTTGAACCCAGGGACTCATGCTTGCTATGGAAATGTTCTAATGAGCTAGATACTCCCGTTCCCAGATTTCCCACTCTACACCATTCCCCAAAATGCCCAGCCACCCAAAGTTTTTAATTCTCAGATGGGGAGAAAAAGGAGCTAGACAAGGTGACAGCACTTTTGAATGCCTCTACCGTTCTGGAGGCTGAGGCAGGCACTTTTAAACCCTCAAGTAAAAATCACATCTACAAGTCTGCAATTGAAGCACCCAGGGGAAACTGAGGTAGAAGCACTACACTATGGTAGCAAATACCAGGCCAGCCACAGCTTTATATAACAAGATTGCCTCAAAAAACAAAAAACAAACAAAACAAAAACAAAAATGGGCCAGGTGGTGGTGGTGCGAACCTTTAATTCCAGCACTGGAGAGACAGAGCCAGACAGATCTCTGTGAGTTCGAGGCCAGCCTGGTCTACAGAGCTGGTTCCAGGACAGGCTACAAAGCTACAGAGAAACCCTGTCTCAAAAACCAAAACCTCAAAGAAAGCTATCCCAGTACCTGTTCTGAAAAATTAGTTAATGAAGGCAAAGTTCATCTGAGCCAAATAAATAGTTCGTGAAAGTGCCCAGGGCTACACAAAGTCCACTCCCAGTACCACTGGGGCAGGATGAAGGTGCAGGCTGTCCATCCCCATAGCAGTCTGTTCCAGTGCCAGCCCCTTGAAGATGTGCAGCTCAGTTCAGAGCTGGGAGTTTAATAGGTTAAATCAGCAATCAATAAAGGTATTCAAAGGTTCAGTAAAGGTTCAGGGGAAAGAGACTTGTTTAGGGAGTGCATGTTCTTTACAGGGTATGGGTTCAGTTCCCAGTACCCATGCCAGGTAGCTTCCGATCTAACTCCAACTCTGCGCTCACCTGTACACACAGAGGCAGGCATGCACACATGCAGTTACACGTGTGCATGTAACTGAGAGCCTTTCCAGGATGGGGAGACGGCTGCATGGCCATCTTGCTGCCAAGCCAGATGGCACGAATTTATCTTGACTTCCACATGAATCCCATGGCACATTCACATACAAAGATTTCAGAGAGGCACCCTCCAAATCAAGTGGCTCCTGTAGAATCTGTAGGTAGAAGCCAGGTGCGGTGGTACACCCTTGTGATTCCAGCACTAGGGAGGTGAAGAAGGCAGTGGGGAGCGGGAGTGCAAGGCTGCTCTCCAGAAGAAAGAGGAAAACCTAGAATCTTTATCAATAAAACTTGCTGTTCCCTTGGAAGTCAGGCTTGGGTCACTGAGATGGCTCAGTATGGAGGGTCACATAGCACCAAGCCCGTGGACCTGAGTTACCTAGCACCTAGGATCCACCTGCACCACGTCCACAAGTTGTTCTGACCTCCCCAAGCATCGTGAGCATGTCCATGTGTGCACACACGCGCACACACACACACAAAGCAATAGACCAGGACTACAGTTCAGTTTGTCAATGGAATTGCTTGTCCACTTACTGTGGTTCTAGGAAAACCTTGGCAGTCCTCTCTCTACAGTCTAGCCGCTTTCCCCAGCATCCTTTTATGGCTTCACACAGCCCCCGCAGGCCCCAAACTCAATCACAGGACACTTGAGGACGCTTGCCACTCTTACCCCAGGTCTAGAAATGCTATATGGTCCAAGTCCTCAAATAAAATAGCGCCTGGAGCGAAGGCTTGCTGCTCTTGGTTCCCTGTATCTAGACTGCTCTCAATCTGTTACTCAGCTCCAGTAAAGGGGATCTGGCCTCCCCTCCATTTCTGGCCTCCAGGCACCCAAACACAGTGGTCTACACACACACACACACACACACACACACACACACACACAGTAATATATATTGAAATAAAATAAAAACACTCATGAACCTGAGGCTAGTTGTCAGTCAGGGCTACTCAGCTGAACGGTTTTAGTTTTGAAAAAAGGCCTTTGACATGCTTACTCCTCGCTCCATTTCTGGACATCTGGAAGGGTGATGTTTAGCATTTTGCATTATCCCTTTAGGGATAGCTTGCAGGTGTCAGGAGCTAAAGGGTTAGCCCCAGCTAGAAACCCAGGGCTATTTTGCCACAGGTCACCTTGAAAGATAATTGGTAGAGCACTGGGGTCTGGCATCAGGGGTCAAGGAGAACTCCCAGCACTTCTGATCCCATCCTGATCCCATCAGGGACAATACAGTCATATACACTCCACTGGTGCCATTATTAAATTGCGTTCTCCTGACTTGCAGCCAGTGTAATTATGTCATTGGAGAATTATGACTGTCCAAAATGTATAAAACCAAGTACAAGTGAGCAATGTAATGAGAAATTAAAAGGCGGGACTGGAGAGATGGCTCAGTGGTTAAGAACGCTGGCTGCTCTTCCGGGACCCTAGATCAATTCCCAGTCACATGGTAACTCACAACTGTCTGTAACTCCTGTTCTAGGAGATCTCACACCCTCACCTAGACATGCATGTGGGCTAAACACCATCGTTCATAAAAGACAAATAAAAAACCTGTTGAGGTGCTGGGTGTGGTGGCACATGTCTTTTAACTCCAGCACTCGGGAAGCAGAGGCAGGTGAATCTCTGCAAGTTAGAGGCTAGCCTGGTCTACAGAGCAAGTTCCATGACAGCCAAGGCTTCAACACTGAGAAACCCTGTCAAAAAAAGTGGGGGGGGGGCAAACTGCTGAGGTCTGGTGATGAAGAATATCCATTTAGTCTGCTGAAGGCTCCAGAGTGAACCCTGAGCACCACCCCACCCCATATAGGATTTTTAAAGAGAGTGGGTGGCTATAATCTTGGCACTCGGGTGGCAGACATTACGAGGATCCCTTGGACTTGCTGGGCAGCCAATTCTAAGGAATAGCGAGAAAGACATATCTGAAAAGGAATTTAGGATTCCAACACATCTTCCCCCAACCAGGCTGTGGCTGGGTTCTGCCCCTCCAGCCCTCAAATTCTGCTTATCTGCAGGCTCAAAGAGCTGAACAGACCTCCCACACCACATCCTGATTCCACATCAATTACAGCCTCGGGCAAGTCATCTGGCCTCTCGGAGCCCCCACATTACCTCAATAGCTGGAGGCAGAACGTCCGGCGGCGGGACAGCTTGTGTGTCAAGAGTTAAGGCAACACTGGAAAGACCCAACACTCAATGCACAAACTAACCCGTTTCAAGACACCAATGTTGCCTGGCTGGACAGGACACACCCGTCATCCCAGAAGATGGAAGCAAGCTGCCCGTCAGGCAAGGATACAGTGAGACCCTTTTCCAAATGAACAAAATAATGAATACAAAAAGATCAAACGAAGATACCAATGTTACTATATACGTACAGTTCCGTACTGTGATCACAGAATTTAACCACTATCTGTATGGTACCCAATAAATGGAACCTTTGCCGGGTTCATGTTCAGTGTCTGTCTGTCTGTTCCTTCCCCACAGGCACTTTTTTCTTTTGAAGGCCAGTGATGGCCCTTAATCCCAGTACTTGGGAAGCAAACAAAACAAAAACGGGCCAGGTGGTGGTGGTGCATGCCTTTAATCCCACCACTGGAGAGGTGGACAGATCTCTGTGAGTTCGAGGCCAGCCTGGTCTACAAAGTGAATTCCAGGATAGCCAGAATGGTTACAAAGAGAAACCCTGTCTTGAAAAAAATTCTCATTTGTTAACCAGACTAAGAAATTAAAACTGTCCTTGTCTATCCGGTGAAACCTTCATAAATAAATCTCTTCTGTAAGTATTTAGCTGTATTTAGTATTTGTTAGTATTTGTTGGTTTCAGGTCTTTCCCCCCAGAAAAATGCCAGACACTTTCCCCACTACCAAGAAGTTCGTGGCCCTCAGCCTGGGCTCTTTCAGACCCTGTCTTGAACCTGCATCTGACCCAAAGTGACCTCAACATGTAGTTTGCCCCCCCACCCCCAATCCCTTTTCCAGGTTAGAGTGCTGCAGCTGAAATCTAAAAGTTGTACTTGTAGCTAGTAATGAAGACATAGTCCAGGTATGGGTTCATTTTTGTTCTTCCTTGACTTGGCAGGGACTCCTATAACCCAGGCTAGCTTTCTATAGCCAGGGAACTCCTGTCTCGCTTCCTACACGTTGGCGGCACGGCTCTTGGGAAGCAGAGGCAGTCGGAGCTAGGTGGAGAGCCTGGTATTATATAAATGCAGACAAAAGCCTATGCCTGAGAAGTCAATTGAATTCAATATGGAATACTGGGGCTGGAGAGATGGCTCAGTGGTTAAGAGCATTGTCTGTTCTTCCAAAGGTTCTGAGTTCAATTCCCAGCAACCACATGGTGGCTCACAACCATCTGTAATGAGGTCTGGTGCCCTCTTAGGGCCTGCAGACATACACACAGACAGAATATTGTATACACAATAAATAAAAATATTTTTAAAAAATATATGGAATACTGATGTTGTGGCAAAAGGACAACATGTAACCAATTAAGTCCCAGGCCAGGGTTTCACAGAGAAACTGTCAAAAATAAAATTTTTAAAAATTTAAAAAGGGGCTAGAGAGATGGTTTGGTGGCTAAGAGTACTGGCTATTCTTCCAGGGAATCCAGGTTCAATCCCCAGCATCCATATGGCAGTTCCGTTCTGGGAGACCTGACACCTTCAGACATATGCAGAAAACATCGATGCACATAAAGGAAAAATAAATTTTTTCTTTTAAATTGAATTTAAGGAGCTAGAGATGGCTCGACATTTCGGAGCACCTACTCCACTTGCAGAGAAGACCTGGCTTCCATTATTGGCACCCACACTTGTATACAGAAAATAAGCAAGTGTTTTGTAAATGGTCTTAATTTCTGGCACTTGGTTAAAAAAAAAAAACTTGCAAATTACCTAAGAGATTCACATACAAAGGCAGACATTTTACTGTGTTTCTCCTATAGGCAGGCTAGGCAACATCCCATGGCTTGGCTAAGCTGTAGCCTTGCCCTGTCCCAACCTCCCATCACCTCCTGTCTTGACCCCACCATTCCTCTTTTTTTTTTGGTTTTTCGAGACAGGGTTTCTCTGTGGTTTTGGAGCCTGTCCTGGAACTAGCTCTTGTAGACCAGGCTGGTCTCGAACTCACAGAGATCCACCTGCCTCTGCCTCCCTGCTGGGATTAAAGGCTTGCGCCACCACCGCCTGGCCCCACCATTGCTCTTTAACAGAAAATTTGATCACAAAATAGGTTCACATATAAAATGATATAAAAACAAGCTGTAAAGTGTAAATAGATAAATGCAGAGGCCAAAAGCCTCTTAATACAGGGGGACAAGAAAATGGCTGTGTCATGGCTATCTCAACGGAAACCAAGGGTTTCACAAGGGTACAAACCAGCTTATTTATGGCACTCTGACCCGGGAAAAAAAATTCTTCTGCACAGACAGGAAGAACTGGTGAGCTCTGGCTGCCCCCGAGGACCAGTTACTGTATGTGAGTGTGAGCATGCATGGAGGCCAGAGGTCACGTCAACCTAACCTGCTTGCTCCTCAGGAGCCAGACTTTGTTTTTTGAAACAGGGTCTCAGTGAACTAGGAGTTCACCGGTTTGGCTAGCCTGGCCAAATGCTGACCAAAACCGACTAGGGGAGGAAAGAAAGGGTTTGGGCTTGCAATGCTCCAATCCTTAAAGGTCAGAACATCAAGGCAAGAACTAAAACAGAGAGTCCTGCTTATTGGACTAGTTGTTATCTTTTTCCTGGTTTTCCAAGACGGGGTGTTTCTATGTAGCCCTGGCTGTTCTAGAATTGCCTTGCCTTGGGAGTGTTGGGTTTAAAAGGTGTGCCCACCACATCTGGTCAGATCTTGGGCAAGGGGAATGCTATTAGTGGCCAACCAGTGCAGCCTAGTGACACATTGTCTCCTAAAACAAAGCCAAGGGGCATGACCTATCCCAGCACTTGGGAATCTGAGGTAGGAAGATCAGCAATTAAAGAAAGGGTGGTTTTAGCTACATTGTAACTTCGAGGCCAGCTCTTGTCTCAAAATAACTTCTTTAATTTTACATTTACTAGAGCCCAGGTGCTGTGTCCCACACTTTTAATTCCAGCACTAGGGAGGCGGAGGCAGGTGGGTCTGAGTTTTAGGGCTGCCAAGGTAACACATGGAAACACTGTTGCAAAAGGAAAAAAAAATCATGGCGAGAAAGGAAAAAAAAAAAAATCATTGTGCAAATGCCGAGCACAGGACCTCCCTTCTCTACCTCTAAGTTGTCAGACCTGAAGGCAAGCACATTAACCACTGATCTGTCCCTCTTTGGTCCCCAGGACCTCCTAATGTCTAATGTCTATCAAGGTAGTGGTGCCCAGCTTCAGTTCTCCACTAAAAGCGACTCCCCTGGGATCTGGTGCCGCAGAGTGCAGACAGTGCCAGAAATACACTGGCTGCAGGTACTAGTTAATTTTGATATAATCTAGAAATCAAATAGAGGGGACTTGGGTACATCAATCATTGGAAGAATCCACATTTAGCATGCTAACAGCCATGATATGTATTCAATCCCTCAGATTAAATAATACAAACAAGCGACTGGCCCATCTGATATAATAAAAGTCTAGGAGTTCAGTCAGTCCAATTCTGTCTCAATAAATAAATAAATAAAATAAAATAAAAATTCTCAGCTAGGCGTGGCGGTGCTGCAACTGAATTCAGGTAGATCTCAGTTCAAGGCCAGCCTAGTCTATAAATGGAGTTCCAAGACAAGTCAGAGCTGTTATACAGAGATACCCCGCCCGTCTCAACAACTAGGTTAAAATACTAAAGCAATTAAAAATTCACACAATACCTTTTTTGGGGGGTGGGGTCACAGTATAGTCCAGGTTGGCCTCAAATTTACTTATTGTACCCTTCATTGCATGTGGACCCATGGCTGCCACATACATGATGGATTTGGCAGTTGGTTCCACTCAGCAGGTCCCAGGTTGCAAACTCAAGTAATCAGACTGGGGGCTGAGGGGAGAGGGGCATGGCATGTACATTGCCCCCCGAGACATTCATGCAGGTGCAGGGCTCAGGACCTGAAGCACAAGTGTCAGGCTGTCCTGAGCCACCTCATACAAGGCTGGAGACTATGGTAATCCTAGCCTAGCTACATGCAACCTTGGCTATACCAAGCAATCAAGATAAAAAGGCTGAGCTTGCTGGAAGCCCTAAGTTCAATTCCCAGCATCGCTCCTCCACAAGACTTCATTCACAAATTCTTGGAGATGTTCATGGAGATGAACATTTTAGGGGGGGCGGGGTCTCCAAATCCTGAAGATAGACCCACCCACATGGCTGCTCCCTCACCTGCACCAAAGAAGTGGCATCCGGCTTCTTTTTGAGCACCTCGCATTTCCTCTTCTTGCAGATCTGGTGGCTGTTCCTTCTGTTCATGCAGTAGGTACACTCACCGCAGTTGGTCTTCTGTTGGCAGGGCTCACAGACCCCGCACGGCTTGCGTTTCTTCCTCTCCACCATTGGCAGTGTCGATTTTTGAGAAGAAGAGGTACTAGCCTGTGACACTGGCATAGATATCCCAGTGGCTTTGCCATCAGCGGAGCTGGCCGTGTTGACCTGAGAAATCCCCCCTTCCACTTTGCTGGAGGTAGCCTGAGGGCCCTGGGTAAGATCCAGGGGAGCACGCTGGAGTCCACTCTCAGGGTCAATGGTAAACCCTTGCCTGTTCGCTGGAGAAGGGTTTGCACAAAACTGCTTCTCATCTTGTACACTGGTTGCAGCTATTGCTGGAGGTATTGAACTTATCTCGGAGTTTGCTGGAGCATGTCCTGAGTCCAAAGTTAAAGGGATAGCACCTTGGACCTCAAGCCCACAGGAGGCAAAGCTGTGGGGCTCAGGCCCGGGAGGAGTACTGTAGGTAGCCAATGGGACTATAGGGTTGGGAAGGAAGACAGGCAGATCTGGGGGAGCAGCCATATTCATATTCATAGTTCCTTGTTGGGTTAGCATAGTTATAGCACCAAGATCCTCTGATAGGCCTGAAACCTTGCCCAGGGCCTCACCAGGAACTAAGTTAGCACCAGGAAATACCCACTGAGGTGGGAGAGCACTGAAAACCTGTCCTAGGGCAGAAATGCCATCCAGAAATTGATATGGGTAGCAACCACCTTGATCTGGGTTAGTTTTGAGGGTTCCTTCTTGGGGTTTAGCACCAAGCATATCTTGATCTGGATAGCATCCACCTTGATCTGGGTTAGTTATGAGGGTTCCTTCTTGGGGTTTAGCACCAAGCATATCTTGATCTGGATAGCATCCACCTTGATCTGGGTTAGTTATGAGGGTTCCTTCTTGGGGTTTAGCACCAAACGTATTTTGATCTGGGTAGCATCCACCTTGATTTGGGTTAGTTTTGAGGATTCCTTCTTGGGGTTTAGCACCAAAAACATCTTGATCTGGGTTAGTTTTGAGTAGTCCCTCTTGGGGTTTAGCACCAAACGTATTTTGATCTGGGTAGCATCCACCTTGATTTGGGTTAGTTTTAAGGATTCCTTCTTGGGGTTTAGCACCAAAAACATCTTGATCTGGGTTAGTTTTGAGTAGTCCCTCTTGGGGTTTAGCACCAAATATATATTGATCTGTATAGCATCCACCTTGGTCAGGGTTAGTTTTGAGGGTTCCTTCTTGGAGTTTAGCACCAAGTGTATCTGGCTGTGAGCCTGCCAAGAGGAATCTTATCAGAGCTGTGGGATACACAGACCCATCAAGAGACAAGCAGTTTTTAAGGTCCAATTCAGGTAGAATCTTAAAACTGGAGGTGGGAAAGCAATTAGACTCATTTCCCACAGGATTCAGGGGAGGATCTGATAGCTTAAGAGAGTTTACTTGTGACCCCAAGTCTTCAAACTGATTGCTAGTGTTTTTCTGAGAGGTGACTTCGGGTGTTGATCTTTGGGACAAAGGCACACACTCCTGAGGGGATGTGCTGACATCTGATGTATGAAGAGCGAGTAGTCCTTCATTGTGTGTCCCTTCCAGTGGTCCAGAAGGAATATCTGTTGCAGGACAGCTTTGGGAACCTTCTATTGTTTGAGGCCAAGACTGGGTTAGCTCTTGGATCTCACCTTCAACTAAACACAAGCTCTCTTCACCAATTAGGTTCTCTGGATCCGGGGACGAGGTGGGGTCTTGGCTGGGGATGCAATCATTTTCCGAGTGCTCTGCCACCGCGTCATCCTGGGTCTCGTCGTCATCCTGGGTCTCGTCGTCACCCTGGGTCTCGTCGTCACCCTGGGTCTCGTCGCGAGGACACTGTTGCTTCGAAACACTCTTAGCAGGTGACACTTTCTTCGGTCTGGGTGTAACGACCGGGCTCTGGGAGAGTCGCCTGATCAGAGAGCTTCTTCGTAGAGCCATTGTAAACCCACTGGCAGCTAAGGACTCTGGACTCTCAACTTGGATCCTATCCTGATTCATTCTGGCTGCCCCAGCTCTGGTCAGAAGGCTTCTGGGTGGTGTGGGGCTTTTGTCTTCTGGTTCTTTCTTACCATCTCTTTGAGTTACTTGGTTCAGCTTTCCAGGGTTCAGCTTCCCTGACTCCCCATGTTTGACACCTTGCTTTAATGTCGTTTTCTTCTTCTGTAGACCTGTCCTGACTGCTTTGGAAGGCTTTGCATGACGGGACCGAGACATGGCTGCAGAGTGGGAAGCAATGCAAGGATGCAGGGCCCAGAATCATTGGTCCTTTGTGGAAGCCTTCCTTCTGAGGAGAAACTGGGCCGTTGCCACGTCCAGTCACATCAGGTTTTTGGTCTAAAAAAAAAACAAAAATTGTTATCAGTCCTTTGTACTCAACTAGAAAGATATTTGCTAAAATTAAGCAATAGAATGTGTACCGTCAAAGAATATACAGATAGATTTAACTGGGCAGAAGGGCTCAAATTTCTATTCCCAGCATTTGGGAGTTGTGGGATATCCTGGGTACTGAGTCAAAAAGCTGTTTCAGTGGCTCCTGCCAGCAATACCAGAAATTGAGGCACAGCAGGATAACCAGAGACCATTCACAGCTACAGTGAATGAGTCCAGTCTAGATGACATGAGATCTTGTCCAAAAGAAAAAAAAAAAGAGCTAATATGGCTTGCTCAGGACCTGGGCTCAATTTCCAGGGCCCACATTGCAGCTCACACTGTGTGACTTCAGTCCCAGGGCATCTCATGCCATCTTCTGGCATCTGGGTGCAGTCACTTGGTGTACATAAAGAGGACAAACACTCATATTTTGTTTTATTTGTTTCGAGACAAAGCTTCTCCATATGACCTCATCTGTCCTTTATACCATGCCAGCCTCTAACTCAGATCCGCCTGCATCTGCCTCCCTCATGCTAGGAATTAAAGGTGTGCACCACCATCGCCCAGCTCTGGCATTTGTTCTTTAAAAAATAATTTACTGAAATTTTATGTGCATGACTACCTGCGTGTGCTACCATAGGGAGCCAAGTGATCTTTCCAATGTGCTTATCCTGCAGGTAACCTGTGCACCTACACACATAGGGGGCGCTATAACTCCAGAGTTACAGCACCTCCGTGATCTGAGGACACCGGTACTCTTCTGTGCACAGATTCTCAGACACAATGTGAGCCAAGAATTATCCTAAGAACTGTTTACATTATGAAATGACATCCATTCCAGTCTCAAATTTAGCAGGGTCAAGGTACAGTTTTTAATCTCCCATCAAGACAGCAGGAATAAAAAACATAGAAGCATATAATCTAGGTGCTGAAAAAGAAAATTCAAACTCATCTTATGTGGGCCAGCAGTCGGGGTACTCTAGAGGGTGTCCCAGATCTGCTTTTGGAAGCCGCTTACAAACTGATCAATGCTATTTTTAATTGAAGTGCTTAAGAAACTCAGAGCGTGGGCTGGAGAGATGGCTCAGAGGTTAAGGGCACTGGCAGTTCTTCCAGAGGTCCTGAGTTCAACTCCCAGTGACCACATGGTGGCTCCCAACCATTTGTAGTGAGATCAGATACCCTCTTCTGGACTGCAGGTGCATGAGGATAGAGCACTCGTATACATAAAATAAGTAAAAAAATCTTAAAAAAAAAAAAAAAAGAAACTCAGAGCGTAGTTAAATTACTGTTCAAGCTTATCGCAAAAAAAAAAAAAAAAAAAAAAAAAAATCCGGAGTTGGAGAGATGGCTCAGCAGTTAAGAGCACTGGCTGCTCTCCCACAGGACCTGGGTTCAATCCTCCAGCACCCACAAGGCAGTTCAAAACTGTCTACCTCCAGTTCCAGGGGATCTGGCACCTTCATACCAACTACACATAAAATAAAGTTAAATATTTAAAAAAAAATAAATAACCCAGAAAAAAGAAAACAGAAACACCAAAGTGAGGTGTGTGAAGGAGGATTCAAAGATGAGGTCAATGACCCTAAAGTCCCAACTAGAGAGGAAGAAACCAGTGACAGGCAGGCAAGCTTCAGAGACAACCGGGAGAAAACACGAGCCCCTTGAACTTCATCACCATGAACTCACTAGTGCAATGTAACTGAACTAGGGGAGGATTCTTTGCAAAATCTGAGGGAGGCAAGCCAGGCGGTGGTGGTGCATGCCTTTAATCCCAGCACTTGGGAGGCAGAGGCAGGCGGATCTCTGTGAGTTCGAGACCAGCCTGGTCTACTTACAAGAGCTAGTTCCAGGACAGTCTCCAAAACCAGAGAAACCCTGTCTCGAAAAACCAAAAAAAAAAAAAAAATCTGAGGGAGGCAAAAAAAAAAAAAGTAATGGAGCCATAGGACTATAATATTACAAGATATGTCCTAAAAATTAACTTTTTTTTTTTTTGGTTTTTCGAGACAGGGTTTCTCTGTAGCTTTGGTGCCTGTCCCAGAACTAGCTCTTGTAGACCAGGCTGGCCTCGAACTCCCAGAGATCCGCCTGCCTCTGCCTCCCGAGTGCTGGGATTAAAGGTGTGCGCCACCACCGCCAGGCTAAAAATTAACTTTTAATTTTATAAACATGCCAGGTATTGTGGCGTATGGTCTTTATTAACCACGGTGCTTGTAGGCAGAGTAAAGGCTCCTACGCCAGCCTGGTCTATAGAGTGAGTGAAGACAATCAAAAAAATCAAGTGACAGTCAAGGTAACATCAACAAACTAGTATCTTTTTAACATGGACATTAGAAACTCATCTGGGATGAGGGTGGCACATCTGGGTGGCACAACTCACCTGGGATGAGCTAGTTCCAGGACAGGCTCCAAAGCTACAAAGAAACCGTGTCTCGGAAAAAAAAACAAACAACAACAACAACAAAAAGGATGTCTTCAGATACTTGGGGTGAGTTATTTTCAGGGGTTGGAGAGATGGCTCAGTGGTTAAGATCAAAGGTCCTGAGTTCAACTCCTAGCAACCACATGGTGGATCACTACAAACATCTGATGCCCTCTCTGGGATGCAGACAAACGTGCAGAGTCCTCAGACACAAAATAAAGGATACTGAGTATCATTCGGGTTGGGTAGTATAGGCCTGTAATCCACTACTTGAGTGGGTAAGCAGATTAGAAAATCCATGGCCCAGAGTGAGCTCCACTGGCCTGTCCAACTGAGACCCTCTCACAGTGAAAGGAAAAGGAGCTAGGAACACAGCTCAGTGTAAGCGCTTTGCCTTTGTCCAAAGTCCTAGGTTTAATCCTCAAAAGTTTCGGTATTTCTGAATGCTTTATCCTACCCTCCAGATTTATCCAAGTATATCAATGCAATATAGTAATGTCTAAGAAAATACACCCGGTACCACCTTTAATAAAAATACAGAGCAGGCCCAGGGAGAACCATGTGTGTAATTAATACAATTAATATAGGACAAAAGTTCCAATTGTCCTGGGAGGAAACCATCAGCCTTGGGCTGGAGAAATGGCCCTGACTGGCTGTTCTTCAAGAGGACCTGGGTTCAATTCCCAGCAACTACATGGCAGCTCACAACTATAACTCCAGTTTCAGGGGATCTGACACCCATGGCAAATACCAATGCACATTAAAAAAAAAAAAAAAGCCTGGGGGGTGGTGGTACTCATCTTTAATCTCAGTACTTAGAGGCAGGTGGATCTCTGAGTTTGATGACTAACCTGGTCTACAGAGGGAGTTCCAGGACAGCCACCAACCAACATATCTGAGACATGAAACATGGGGTCTGGGGTAGAATTCAAGACCTGGAACATGCTATGCCCAGCCAAGTCTTCCCACCCAGCACAGTGGCAAACTCGGTCAAGAACTTAAAATCTTTCTCAAAACCTCACTCAAGTGCTGGGATTGTGGGTATGTGCCACCATAATATAAATTTATCTAGTCTAATTAGTCAATAGATTAAATGATTAAAACATTGCCTCAACAGGCCAGCCTGGTCTACAAGAGCTAGTTCTAGGACAGTCACAGCTGTTAGAGAAACACCACCTCAAAATACAAAACAAAAAAATGTAGATTTTCCAATACTCTTTTAAAATAATAGTATTTAACAATTTTTTTTAAATAAAAGTATTTTGGGGGCAGTGGTGGTGCACACCTTTAATCCCAACACTTGGGAGGCAGACACAGGTGGTTCTCTGTGACCAGCCTGGTCTACATACAGAGCTAGTTCCAGGACCGTCAGGACTGTTACACAGAGAAACCCCTTCTGAATCAAAAAAAGAATCTCCTCTCAATGTCCATCCCTCCTTTCAGATTCTCTGGAAGTCCCCTGGGCAGGCAGTGGCTGCAGCAAGGATGTAACCACTGAGCCCAGATGTCAATTTGAAATTAATTACACTGCAGCCCTTCCTGCTACCAGCAGTGGTCCTAAGCATCATTTGCATGCCTAGGGCTACTTGCAAGCTGATTTCTGTCCTAGAACTTAAAGGCACCTTCGCTTGCCCAAAATAGAATGAAAGACTTAAAACATGTATAAAAAAAAAAACAAAAAGTTGCCACTGGGCTCAGGGTTTTCCCCACAACTAAGTTCTACGTAGAAAGGAAGGAGGGGCCAGTGGTTGCCGACTGTTCCCAGACAGTTCACTGCCACAGGAAATGTGTAAGCATGGGGCACTCGACAGGCTGCTCAGGGGAACGCAGCAGAAAGCCAGGAGATGCAGCCTCTTTCCATATGTAAAACACCCTGACACCCCACAGAGGCAAATAGAGCCAAAAGGGAAGGGGGGGGAATGGAGGTAGAAAGACCCATGCAAAAGCAAGAAAGAAAGATGGTGAGTAAAAACCAAGGATCAGTATTTTATGATAAAAGATGAATAGAAAACTAAAAAAGTATCTGGGTGGTCATTGCACAGGCCTTTAGTCCCAGCATTCGGGCGGCAGAAGCAGGAGAATCTCTGTGAGTTAGAGGCCAGCCTAATCTGCGGAGTGAGTTAGTTCAAGGGTAGTCAGGGCTACACAGAGAGACTGAAAAGAGAACCTGAGGTAGGGTAAGGAGACGAGGAGACTGACAAGAGAACCTGAGGTAGGGTAGGGGGAGACGAGGAGATTGACAAGAGAACCTGAGGTGGGGGGGGGGGGGATGAGGAGATTGAAATGGCCTACGGGTTAAAAAAAAGACGAGCGAGAAGAAATGAAGGAGACAGGAAGGATGTGTCCAAGGTGGGGGAGGGCAAACAAACTAGATAAGGAAGACTGCAGAAGGAAGGGAGACAAAGGGGAAAGAGGTTGT